TCACTTTCCTCTTTGGCCCCATAATCTTCTTGATCAGAAAATTTGGGACATTACCGAGGCCTGTCATGTACTTTTTAAGGCAAAATATGACTCTATTTATTGTTCTAACTGACTGTTCTCTCTCAGGAATTAGACAAATACCCCTGGCTGGTCCTCTGCTGAGGCTCTTCATTTAATCAACAGTGTGCAGCAGACCTGTGGGAGGCTACTGTTTTGGACTGAGCAAGCCAGAATGGAGTTCCTGCTTCTAGGGGTACATGATCAAAGTGAACTTGGAAATGGCCCAGTTTTCCAAAACACAGGCTCACCACAGGCAGCCATAAGGGCTCAGCCACTCTGAGCCAGAACAGGAAGTCGGACACCGCTGTTTCTGTCAGCTTTTCTGCCCCTGCAGCCCATCTCCCTGCTCAGCTCACAGGGGCACTTTTCTATTCTGTAGTCAAGTGCTGCCCAATTATGTCTTTGAACTTAACTTACTGAAAATCCCATTGCTAACAGAAGGAGGACCATAATGTTATAGTTAAAAAAGCAGAAGCACAATAGGATAGAGAAACAAAAACCCAGAAAATTCAGATAATTATAATAATGATTTGCTTATGTGCATTCAAATACAATTTTACATATATCCAGAAAAGAGCTAAATAATGACAATATTAATTTCTGTGTAAACTGTGCCTCAATCAAGGAACTCAGCTTTTTTTTGGCGGAACTGGGGATTGAACTCAGGCCCTTGCGCTTGCCAGGGAAGCGCTTATTCTACTGAGCCATCTCCCCAGCCCCAGGAACTCAGCCTTTGATCAATTGTATTTTAATATACTTCAGTGCTAGGACTGAAGTGCTTAGCTCTGCAAGGACCTGAGCAAAGCCATACTCATGAGGCAGCCACTGGCCAAACGCTCTATTAGAGAAGCAGCCCTATGCCTTGGTTTGGGGTGAGCTCACCTGAGTCACACACGGTGGCGATATCACCTGATGTTTCACTGGCAGAGACAGCTGTGACAGGGCTTTTGTGTCCGGCCAGACTTTGTACATAGCATAGTCTGAAAAACAAAAAGCTTTAATTTACATATGGAAATTATATTGTTACTTATGTAATTCTTTTCCTCAGTATATGTACTTATTATTCATAGGATACATGTTTTCCTATCTGATCTTTTGATCTAAATAATACTACAAAAGTAATCTTACTACCTTTAAGGATGCACAAAACTATAATGGATTCATTCGTGCATTCATTCATTCTTTTTTTTCCTTTATTTTTGGTTTCTTGAGACAGGGTCTCGCCATGTAGTTCAGGCTGGCCCTGAGCTCACTATGATCCTCCTGCCTCACCTTCCCAAGTGCTAAGATTACACGGATGCACCACCATGGTGGGCAGTACTGGTATAATTATGGTGTACATTTCATACAATCTGCAGGGCAATATTAAATATAGCTGTGTGGGTCAGAGACTTCCATACCTGTTTAAGTCCCATAAGATGCAGGTTCCATCTCTGCTCACACTTATCATTATACTGTATGGCTTGCAGACAAATAAGCTGGTTATCTCTTCTGTGTGCCCATAGAGATGTACCTGAGTCTCCATTTCTATCTCTGATGGCTGAAATTTAGAAAGTAAGTAAAGGATGAGACAGCAGTCACCACACAAAATGTCTTAGAGTATAGTATCTTAATAAAAATATAAAGTGACTCAAACATTCTCATCATTTTCAATCCTATTCAGTTAAACAGAATAATTTTAAAATATCTGAATTATTCAATTTCATCAACTAATACTCTTTTCATTTTTTTCTTATTCAGTCTTTATTCAAAGGCACATGTACTCCTTATACATGTAATACTGCCATATAAATAATTTTCTATTTCATATATTTTCCTGTAAATATTTT